AGACCCCCCTATCACAGGGGGTGGGGGCTGTAATCTTTTGTGAGAAATTCACTTTTTAGCTTAAGCACAAGAGACTATAGTCCCCACCCCCCGTGATAGGGAAGTCTGGGAGACAAAGCCCCCCAGTTACATAACTAGAGATAAATGATATGATAGATTTTCTAACCTAACACGCCCTCAACTTTGTCTATTAATATCTCGCTTCGCAGTAGAGAGCGACGATTTTGTCAGAGGAAAAAGTTGTTTGGCATACAAAAACGTGTCGATTGAGTTTGGTGACGTGGCGATTTCGCCGTCACCGATAATAGTGGGAGACGAGGAGAGCTGTGCTCTCGCCCCCTTCTTCCACGGGAAGGGCGGCAGCGAAGAAATTGGTCTCGCACGCTTTTACGTGCGAGATCGCGTGTTATAATTTTTTTGTTTGTTAATTGTGTGCTCGGGCTGCGACAATAATGGCGAGGTGCAGCGATCGGAGCGAGGCGACGGCGGATCTGCAGAGGACGGCAAGCCGAGCGGGGCAGGATCCACCCCTCGCTATCACAAGTGAGGGGGCCCCGACTAGATTGCAGCGGGGCGCCAGGACGGGCTGACCGTAAGGACTAGATCCCGGGGGACGCCCTGGGATACCTCAAACTTCTGGCAGCCACCTGAGCGCCCACGCTAAATAGAGCTGCCGTCAGAGGCAGGATGCCGCCAACATAGAATCGGAAAATTCGGCGGTGTCGCGCGGGCCCTGTAAGGCGCCCGCGCTAGAGCCGTGCGTTCTCGCAGGACCAATGGGACCTAGCGGCGATCGGCGGCTGATACCGCGAGTTAAGGAGCCTCGCGCTCGCGGAAAGATTCGTCACTGTGCGGCTAGCGAGCGACGCGTACGCTGGAACAAAATTCACGAGCGAGCGAGCGACCACCGTACGGCGAGCGAACGAGCCTTGAGGCAAACAGACCAGCGGAGGACGAGAGGCGAGCCCGGCAAGGGGATTTTTGGTGAGCTGTCTTACATCTGTCGTTCAGCACGAGCGTGGAAAGATCGGAATGGTTGCCGTCGCTTCACGACGGCTGCCGGAAGAGTTCGTCACCGCCCGCGACGACCCGTTTTACCTCGCGAGAGAATAGCCGTCCTTACCGCGCTGTCTGCTGCCGCTTCATCGTGCCGCGACCGCACAATTCGGCGAGCGATTGCGTAAAGATTATGATGACTCGCGATTATTCGTAAGAAGTGCGGGTCTCCGAGAGTGGCGAGAAATACGCGATTCGCGACGAGACAGTTAGGGCCGGGATGCACCCGGCTGGCGCCCAATGCAATAAGTAACGTGTATCGAGAGAATTTCGCGAGCCTCGTGCCGTTCGAACGCCGCGAAGCAGAAGGATCCTCGACTATGGATCCGGCTGCCGAATGATTTCGCGACTACGCGTCTCGGAGCCCGCCTAGCGTCTTGGTAATCTCTTTCTTTGTTGTTTCTTTTTTTTGTCAAATATAGCAAAATGTTAAACCGTACGTGTGTGCTTTTGTGATTCCTCCGACTCTGTCGCCTGTTCCTCTCGTGTCGCGCGAAGGAAGGTCGCGCGTCGACACAAGAACCCCGCCGCTCTACCGAGAGATAATTTTTGAGAGCTGCCGGCAAGCTCGGCCGTCGCCGCAACGGCGGAGACGAAATTTTGGTCGTATTCTCGCGTCTAACTAACGGAGAAACGGTCACAGTCTATTTTCATCGAAATCGGAGGTGTTGCCGCTAAACTAAATAATTATCAAAACCACAATTTACACTCTACATCACAAATAGTAGTACGAAAATCGGAGTGAGTCCCAGATGCGCACATTGACAAACGGACACATCCAATCATATGTCGTTGTTTATAGAGTCTCTA